TCTTGAAGCTCAGACAAGTCATAACGAGGATCAAATTGTGTCGTGGAGTTTTGAGCTACTAGGTATCGTTTTTGAAGCTGACTCATAGAGAAAAAGTAAAATTCTTCAAGTTCTGAGTCGTGATCTGAATCTGAATTGTCCATCATGGCCATTGCAGCAACATTGGATGCTTCGATTATTTTCTTTCTTCGAGATACTTTGGGCATGATTGCTTTTGAGGACTTGAGTGGAGGCGATCTTGGTGTTGATGATGATGAGTTGGTGGTGGGATGATTGGTGCTGATGATGTGAAGTTTGGTGGTCAGATGATCAGTTTGGTGGTGGGATGATTGGTGCTGATGAGGTGAAGTTTGGCGGTGCAAATGAAAATTGGCGGTGATATGAGTTGAAACAAATGGGATATTTTAATTGACTGGTTTGGGTGAAAAGATATGTGTTTTTTTGTTCAAAACCCGTTGGGGTTGATGGAGGTGGATTTTGGAAACCCGTCAATTAATAATCGTGGATTTCAAAAAAATAATTGACGGGTTTGCAAAGGTGGATTTGCTATATTTGATACCCCCTAATAAAACTTAACATAAACCATTTTTATGAGCTATTATCTTGGTTCAATTTTTTTTCAGAAGGAAATATCTGTCAGATGATTGCTATTTGTTTGTTTCTACTTTGCACATGTACATTTGTAAAATCCACAACAAAGTTTAACTTATAATTACTTTTCCATTGAGTTGAATTCATTAATTGAATCAATATTGACAATATTATATCTGATTAACAATATTTTAGATGAAGGAGAGAGTGCAGAGATGGATGGTTGTTTTTGGGGAATATTCATGATGGCAGAGCTATGGCAGCTGGTGGGGATGGCATACAGGGATAGATTTCAAATAGTCAATTACCCTCGTATCCAAATCAGCCCCTCAAACAACAAGGCAATTTTTGACTGCTTGACAGCCTTCCAATCCTTATTGCTGTTGACAAGCTACATACATCTGAAGCTCCATCCAACCAGTCTGCTAGATCATCTGATCAATGTTGTTGGTCTGTCCATGCCAATGCCGCTCATGAGGCATCCAGTGGAGACACATTACAGCATACACCTGTTTGGAATGGATAAGCAAAAATTTTGACTGTAATTTTCTTGCTGCATAAAGCAAAAGGGGGAAAAACAAAAAGACGGGGCTAAGCAAACCAGTAGTGTAAGAGTCACGTCTTGACTCTTCACTGTCCGAGCTTATACGACTTCAAGACAGGCAATAGGCCTGGAGAGAACTTTTCTAGAACCTGGATCAGATGAATTTCAAAGAGCCAGCTTGGTAGAAGAAAAGGGCTGGAGTTCTCCCAGTACAACTTAAACTATTTAGAATCTAATGAGAGAGAAATAAAAGAGGAGAAAACATGATTAAGAGAACAGAGAAAGAAATGTGAAATGGTTTTACTCACCTAGCTCGGTAGAAGAAAAGGGCCGGAGTTCTCTACCAAGCTAGACAGGGGTTGAGTTGATTGATTTTTAAAGGATGAAATGGGTTGGGGTGATTATGTAAGCCTCTAAGATTGATTTGTGAAACCTGTGTGTGGCAAGGTTTCACATGTCACCTCATTAACTCCAAATTTGAAGTCAACCAGCCAACACAACCCCAGTTCAAGTCCCCAACTATGTCAGCTTGCTACTATAGCAGAGACAACCTGTCATAGCAAATAAAAATAATAAATTACATAAAAAATCTAAGTATAAAGTAAAAATATTACATAAGTAAAAGAAACAATATTACTTATGTAAATAAGATACAAAATACATATAAATAAATTAATAACTTAAAAGTATAAACAAAAACTTGAATATTATTGCAGATTCTGAATCAGCATACAATTTTACCTAGGGTACCTCAGCCAAAGGTACCCCAAATTCTAACTTCTTCACCCTGTAATACAAGCATGAATAATTAACAGGTACCCCCAGATCACGGGTACTGTGACACTTCTGCATAATGCATAATGCATATACTCCAAATCCAGTCTCAGAATTGGAGTATTGTGCACGGTTTAGAAGATAGAGCAGTGTGGAGTCCTGTCTCCAAGCCCATGTGCCACGTAGTCATGCTGCGCACCAGTATCCAAGGATTGGGCCACAAAAGCCCCAGAATCCCCATTGCACGTGGCAACAAAGCCCCCACACGTGTAATAAGAATGTGAACAAGCTAGAATATCCATGAAAATACTACAGTAACCATATTCCAGTGGGTAACACGTGTAGCAAGCCTCAGAAGACACCTCTGGAATATTCTGTGGCCCATTTCCAAGGAGCCTGCTCCACGTAACAGAGTAGCCCCTATCCACAGGTTCCCATGGGACATTCTTGGCTGTAATAATTTCGTGAATGACCCCTTGGAGCTTCTGGAACATTATCCCCAAGGTTCCAGCCCTGGTTACATCACCATGTGGGTCAAAATGGGCCCAAAAAGCGCCCCCAAGTCCTACTAAGCTCCCCTGAGCAACCCCTGAGGCCTTCCACAGGTATTTAAAGGGCCTTCTGACCGCCCAAATAATGATCCCCCAGCTTTACAATACCTTATAGAAATTTAGTTACCATTTACAAGTC